TGATAGGAGCTACCTGCAGTCCTTTGGAGGATCCCTTCACTCTGTTGAGAAAGATTAAATGCAAAGAAGTCTAAATTTATAGCAAGGAAGGTAACTTTTAATAGGGTTTCAGCTTATATTGCTGGGAACAGTCCTGTGCTGGGTGGGAGATGGACAAAGAATGACCTATTAGGTCTTTCCTCTCTCCAACTTTTGTGCTTTGCTGATTATAATCCACAGTGCCAGCTGTGTATTCATCTCACTGTGTGCTAGTGTTTGCATCTGAAAAATGAATCTCTTGTGGTCTTTCCTTAAAATGTTATTCTGAAAATAGCTCCTGTTTTCTACCCTGTTTCCCCAGAATAAGACATGCAGCAGCACCCAGAGTTGGTTCTCTGTGAAAACTTTTCCACTACAGGGATTGATTTGAGCTAACAGCACAAATTTGTAAATGACTCAGTGATGTTACTTTCTTCAGCGGGGTAGTAAGTACTGAGAATTGCCACTTCATGAAAACTCCGGACAAAGGAGTTTCTTCCTGGGGTAAAACCTGTAAAGGGGTTAAAAAAACAATCAAATGGGCCAGGATTTACTGCTCTGTGTTGATGACTGAGTACCTGGCTCTTTTATGCAGTGAAACCCAGGACACTATCCCCCCGCCCCCACAGATCCATGGGTATCTGTGAAGCTCCATGCTGCTCTTCACACCCACCAAGTCCCTTGAAGCCTGGCTCTTTATTGGTGTCATTAATTTCCTACCCCGAAAAGGTAGGGGAAATACTACTGGTTAGGCAGGGGAACATGTAATATAGAATGGATGTTCCCTGGTCCCTGCATACCCAGCCTACCTATACAAAGTATCCCAGAGCCTCAACCATACGGCGTTGTGATGGAGGGCTACCAGAGGTTGCCAAGAAGCAGGTAGACTGTGCAGTTGAGCTACCACTCCCCCATTCCTGTCTTTTCTGTGCAGTTCTTCCACTTTGCACTCTGTACATGCTTCAGAAGGGAAACCATGGGCTCCAAATCAACAATCCATATTCTCTAGTCAGTGGAAACAGCTATTTACACGGGTCAACTTTGGAAGATGAGTCACTCTCATAAACACACACACACAATATTGTGTAACATTGGTGAACGGTCAGTATTGCATTGCTATGGTTATGTAAGAGGTTGGGTGGCAAAATGGAGCTTTGCCTGGTATACTCTGGATGCATTTTGGGACTGGCGTACTCTTCCATTGTCATTTACTGCTGGCTGCAGTCAGTAAAACTTTATTATTATCAGTTGCCCTTCTGGCTACCAGTCAAGAGGGGAGTAAATTATGTCAGTTATGAAGACCAACAATTGTGAGGGAAATATTCCTTGCCTGCAAGTGTCTTGATACCTCATTACATATGAAGTTTCTGCAGTAAAGAAATTAACGTTGGCTTTGTCCCAGCATTTTTTTAGACTCAGGTGACTGTGGAAGGCAGGCAGCCATATCTCTAGTTCTCAGAAGAAACTCAGTCTTGTTGAAGGAAAAACACGGAGAAAAAATGTTTATTTTAGAAACCTTTTGGAATGTTCATTTGAACTTTAAAGATCACAGTAGGTCAACTGTAAATCTAGTAGCCTGCATTACTTGCCTGTGAAAGCAGTTGCTGTAAAGTTATGTGCAGGGCATTGACTTAAAATACGTCCTCTCCACCTGCTCACCCACGCTAAAGGAAATTATATCTGGTGTGCTATCATCCTTGCTCTCACTGGATTCTCCATGATGTCATCATCGTTGGACACTGATGGATTGCATTTAATTTGTAGTAAAGCAATTGGCATCCACAGCAACATTGAATTTTATGGGTACATAGTGGAAATGCTTTATGGGTACATAGTAAGGCTCTGAGGGCAAGTCTGGGCCATGCATATAGTGGGCCTGAAGCTGCAAGACATTGAGTTTGCTATGATTTCAGTTGGCTTCAGTGCATGTGAGGGCACTCGGCACCATGTAGAATGGCCCTCAATGTCTGAAAGTAATTCCCACCTGCCGTCAGGAATACCTGGGAAATACAGTGACTATGGCTGTAAGTAGAAAGGAATCTGGATGTTAATGAGCCAGGGAGTGTAGATAGATATGCAGATGTGAAACCCACAACTTTTCTCTGAATTTTATTTTATTGATTGATTGTATTTCGGTCACAGCTAGAAGGCCCAGTCAGGAACCATGACCCCACTGTGCTAGGTACTGTACTAACACAGAACAAAAAGACAGTCCCTGTCCCAAACTGTTTACAATCTATGTATAAGACGAGGAAACAGGTGGATAGAGACAGATGGGGAAGTACAAAGAAACAATGAGACAATATTGGTCAGCACACGAGAAGCCAAATCATTCTCAAGTTTTTTGTAGGCCTCACGTGGCAAAGTCAAGTTTCAAGGAGGGTTTTGAAGGAGGATAATGAGTTAGTTTTGCAGATATTTATGGGAGTTCCTCCCAAGTACGAGGGGCTGCATGGCAGGAAACATAACGGTTTATTTATTTTGTAAATGGTTCTGCAATTGGATGCATGAACTATCAATTTGCTATTTTATTAAAGGCCAGATTTTTAAACATATGTAGGCACCTAACTCTCAATTATTTCAGTGAGATTTAGGTGCCTAAATACCTTTAAAATCTGGCCCTAAGCACCTAAAATGGCAACTAGGCAGATCTTCCTGGCTATTTCCATATGTAGTTGCATGCCTGATTACATCCCACTGCACCCCTAAGGCCGGGTTTGAGATATCCGTACTCACGGTCAGTAGTATTAACTCCATGGATAGTCCCATTGACCTCAATAGGACTTCACGTGGAGTAAGGTGCTATTCGCTGTGTGTAAGAGTTATCATAAGACAGCCTTTAACAAATCCTTTGCAAATTTAGGCCTGAATCCTGCAGCTGCATTTGCAGTTGCCATTTCAGTGTTGGGCCGTTAGCCTAAGAAGTGTTATAAAATCTTCATGCATATTAGCACTAAATTTATTAATAGGCAGCAGATTTAAAATAAACAAAAGGAAGTATTTATTCACACAACGCACAGTCAACCTGTGAAACTCTTTGCATGAGGATGTTGTGAAGGCCAAGACTATGACAGGGTTCAAAAAAGAACTAGATAATTTCACGGAGGACAGGTCCATCAATGGATATTTGAATCCAGGATGGCCAGGGATGGTGTCCCTAGACTGTTTGCTGGAAGCTGGAAGTGGGCGACAGGGGATAGATCACTTGATGATTACCTGTTCTGTTCATTCCCTCTGGGGCACCAGGCATTGGCCACTGTCAGAAGACAGGATATTGGGCTAGATGGAGCTTTGGTCTGACCCAGTGTGGCCGTTCTTATGTTCTTATGTAAATTCATTGGGTAATAGCGTACCGTCCTCCAGGCCACATTTTTACCAGATGTGGAAGTCTCATGCAGTCCATCTAAAGGCACTAAGTTACAAATGGGAGAAGTTTTTGCATGTATTAAAGTGACTTGAGTGTGGTATTTTCAAAGCTGCATGAGAATTTGTAGGCCCAGTTCCTCTTCAGTTGAATAGGAATCGGGCACCCAAATCCCCCAGATGGCTTGAAAATCCCCTCCTCAATAACTAAAAGCAAAAAGGAAACGTCCAGGCTGTAAATTGCACTGAACGGATTTCTTCGCTATTTCCTTGTTGCTGTGTTGTACAAAGCAACAGATGCTGTGCTTGAAAAGTACCCAACTAATTTCTCTTCGGTGATCTTCATCCTGTGATAGCATCAGCCGTTCAACCAAAACGAATGTGCCTTATGTGTAACCGTATGGGCGTTCATAGTGGAATAAGGTTCTGATCCAAAGCCCTTTGAAGTGGAAAGATGTCTGTTGACTTCACTGGGCTTTGGATCAGTCCGTAAATCAGGGTCATGTTGGCCGCATTAAAGAGATGGGAAGAAGGGTGTAGGGAACATTTCCAGCCCATGTAAGGACCAGGAACAATTGCATTCCTAGCACTAAGGAGAGCGCAGTGACTTCTCACTCCCTACTCCCCCAGGGGCAGACAACATTCCAAAGGAGGTGGGGAGAAGTTGGGTCATGGCCCCACCTCAGCACCCCTCCACACGAGTCCACGTAGCATGCAGCATTTCATCAAGGGGTGCAGCAGCAGCTCTGCTCCTCCGGGGGCAGTATAGGCCCTTAGTTTTGGCTGAGCTTCGATGGCACAACTGAGTGGTCAGGAGGCAAAGTCTGCACCGCAGACACATTGCTATGAACCTCTGTCATCCCCGACAGTGGTATCACATGGAATACTTTTGCATTCTCTCAGATCTGTGATTCAAATGTAGAGTTGCCTGCATGGTGCAGCCCTGAAAAAGGTGAGGCGGATAAATTATACATCTTAATGTCGAAATGTCATTGGCCCTTCTTTCTTAAGTCCCTCATCAGCATACCCTTCAATGTCTTCAGGTGCAGTGCCCTGGAATGCATACTAACTGTATGCTAATGAAGGAAAAATACAATCCAAAGCACTTGTAAAAATAGAAATAACTCAATATATTAGATGCCAGAAAATCCACCTCAGCTTGTCATCCTGGCCATGTTTGGGAAATGCCATGGTCGCAAAATTGCACATGAAAAATCTTCCTAGACAGTTAATAAATTCTCACTTTAAAATTCTGCAATTACTGCATATATCTCCCATACCAAAAATGAGAAGCAGTGATTAATAGTAATGTCTTACATTGTCCTTGCTCCAAGGAGTAAGATTCAAAATTACCTTTACATTTACAGATTCAGGGACAGATTTTCAACACCCAGCAGTTCCCTCTGAGAAGAATAGGAGTGCTGGGGCTTGAGATCTTTTGCAAATCTGGTCCTTTAATTTCATTTGTAATGATTTCCCTAAATATTTGAAAGAAAATACATTTTTAAAAACTCTGAATGAGTCTGACTCTGAAAGTTTTAGCCAGACTCAATTTCGTTTTTTTAAAAATCTCTTATTAACGCACCGTTTTTGTTTTGTTAATTTTGCTACTATCACAGAGGAAGTGTCTGCAAGGATAGTCCAAGTAGTAACAGCTGAAGCTGTAGCAGTCCTGAAAGGTGAACAGGAAAAAGAAGCCCAGCACAAAGATCAGCCTGGACCATTACCTTTAGGTAAAACAAGGCATTTGCAAGAGTGGGGAAGGTATCTCTGTGTGTGCAGATGTATATAAATATAATTATTAATATCAGGTCACAATATATAATGCATGTAGATCACAAAGGTGGTGCTGATATTCATGGATAAATTGTAGAACCCTAGGATAAATGTTGTAACCAGATAATAAATAAAATGTCACATTTCCTCAATTTATCATGCACCTTTGACTGCCTCGCTGACCCTATCCTCACTAGTCCATCTCCCACCAGGTCTGCATTACATTCTCTGAGCAACTTCAACCGTTATTGTTATTATTGTGTTTATTATGATAGTGGCTCGTTAACTGAGGTGCAATTTTGCCTGAAAGTCCCTAATTCAGCAAAAATACTTAACACAGGCTTGACTTTAAGCATTTGCTTAAGTCCTATCGAGATCTATGGAATTTAAGCGCACACTTAACTCCTTTGCTGAGTTGGGCCTAAGTGAGGGCAGAACTAATTACACAGCCTGGGTGTTGAGACATTCTTCAACATACTCTGAGAAACATGAATGTGTTTGCAATGATTTCTGTTACAGCGCCTGTAGGTACGAAAGTACATCTGTGAGTTATTTAAATATGGTTGTATGATCTGCATTGGGATCAAAAAGCCAGTCTCAAGAGGAAGTATTCGAGGCACTAGGTCTGGTCCAATATCCATTGAAGTCAATGAAAGTCTTTCCATTGATTTCATTGGTCTGGGGATCACGCCCTAAATCATAAATTGAGACCTAGTTGCTTGCTGGAATCATTTGCAGCCCAGGAAATACTGTGGCATAAAGTTTAAAAAACCTGATAGATCCCAGTACTAACTCTGAAGAAATACTCAAAACTATTTCTGTGAAATCAGATGAAGAATCTGAGTATACCTGAGAGATACCTTGTTTAGGGCTTAATCTTGCTGCTACTGAAACCATTGACAAAACTTCCTCTGACTTCAGTGGGAACAGGATAAGACCCTTAATTGGGAATTAATCTAAAACCTTAGATTAGGCTTCAATATAGCGCCTTCCTCTGATGAAATACCATGATCAGGTGGCTGACAGAAGTTCCCCATTGACTTGTTTTCCTTCCTTGGTGATGCTTCCAGCTGGTACCTTTCATACTTTGACAAGGAATATTTGCATATATTATGCAGCTAGCCCTGAACCCAGCAGAAACAAAAAAATACCCAGGTTGTAATAATGTAAGAACCCAGCAAAGTGCTATTTGTCCAGCTACCCAAAGGTAAACTAAGCTTGGGATTGGGTGCCTATTTATCCCTTTTCCATATGATCGAACTGAATCTTTAAAATCTCACTGATTTAAATATGTTGCCATCCTAGGTTTGTGAATGAAGCTTTCTCAAAATCATGAATGAACAATAGTATTGATCTGGCTAACAGATGGGACACAAACACAAAGGACTGATACTTTTTTATTTTATTGTATTTCATTTTGTTGTACCCTGGGACCAGACTCTTGAACGTAAGGCAGGGCACCTGAAAGGAAATGTTTTCCTTTCATTATAGATTTAAAATAATACATTGAAAAAGGGAGTATATCTGAAAATCTATTAGGCACAACCTCCATTTAAGTATTCTCCGAACAGGCCAGAATTGCAGCTTGTACTCAGCATCTAATGGTTTCACAGGAATTAATTGCTGTATCTCATTTTCTCATTTGCATTGTTCAATCTCTAGCAGTTGAAGAATCAGCTAATCTGCCTCCTTCCCCGCCTCCATCACCAGCCTCAGAACAGACTGGAACACTGGCAGAAGGTAAGGGTCCCCTGGACATTTCAGAGTATGTCTATCGAGGAAGGGAACAAATGCTCATACGAAGAGGTGGGGGAAGTAGTAAATGGAAATACTTCCTGCTAGCTTCAGCTTAAAGAGTAAGCATTCCCCAGCAATGAAGTGCCATCTGCAAAGTGACCGTAACACACAAATGAGATATATACGTATACACAGGGATAATTGGAAGTAAGCAAAAATAAATGAACAATAATTATTAATAAATATTACAAGCCAAGATGTCTAAATAGTGAGACTTCCCAAGTGTGAGCCTAGAACGTGGTGTTAAATATTGGTTACTACAGTCTGTTAAGATGCGTTTAGTTGGAAATTAACCAGCATTAATGTTGTTTCACAATCCAAGTCCATACAAGCAAGGAGATTCAGAGTTCGATTATTCCTTCTGCTTTCCAGCTTTAATTCACATTTCTGTGCCTTGGTGTATATGGGGATTCTGTACCAGGGTGCCAAAGTGAAATTCTACTCTTAAAGCAAATTATACTTTCTGATCCACACAGTAGTACTCAACGTCGGTAACCCAATAATGTCCACATTCTGCTGTCGCTGAAGCCACAATTCAGAAAGCATGTAATCATGTGCTTAACTTGAAGCATGTGCTTAAACCCCATTGAAGTCACATGCCTAACATTAAGCCCATGGTGATGTGTAGACTGCTGAATCAAGGTCTGGGTGTCTGAGTCGACAGAGGAAGAGCAGAACATTACTGCTGAGCCCTATCATATGGATCTGAGAGAAAAATTCGGCCCTATGAATTCCCTTGTCTTTGTGAGCTAAATCAGACATTTGACATTATCATTATAGTATGAATATAGTTTTCATATGTCACCTTCCTTCTTGTTTTTTAAAAATAAATATCTTGAAAATTAATGTGTCATAGAAATAAGCTATTACTGTCTGTTGAGTACATACTGTGTGTGATTTATCCTGCACTAGTGTTGGAAATGTGTATTTTTTATGTGATGTCCAATATGTGCTAGCTCTCAGTTTACCATGACGTTCTGCAATGAGACACTTTTTTTTATACCTGATATCCCTGCGTTTTGGGTCAGTCCACCTCCTGTATACATTGACAAATGTTACATCCTTGGGTACTTTGTATTGAAAATACTTACTTGGCATGTGCAGTAACCAATATGCAAACTTTGATTTCTTTGTCATTATTATCGTAACATTCACATTCCTGTTGTTGAGCAAATATTACAATGTCTACTCAAAGGTAATGGTAATCAAATAAAACCACTCAGAAAAAAAAAAGGAAACCAGTACTACTCTGGCAAAGATTTTTAGGATTGCTAGGGGCATTTTGATTATTTCACTGCTCTTTTTGTGTTGATTTATTTGATTATCTTACTGTTCAGGGGTGTGCTTTTTGATTTTTAGTAACAGAATGAAGGGGTTGTTGATCTGCTTGAGACTAATTTTAAGATCCCTTTACCTTGGGTTTGGCATTGGCTTTGCACAATGTTTTCACTAACCGTATTATTGCTTATTACTTTGCGGGTTTTATACAGTAGCAAAATTGATTAATTGACAGAATGTTATAATCACTTGCCAAATGTCTTTTAAATGGAAGCCATTTTGTTGTATCGATGCAAAGAAGTGACAGAACAGTAGACATCTCTTTGGCCTAATAGACTGAGCAGTTTCCAGCTCTGCAAATGACTCAGAAAGTCACTTAACTTCTTTGTGTTTCTCTTTCCTCATATGTAAAAATGAGATAATAATGCTTGCTTGCCCACCTCACAGGGGTGTTGTGAGGACTTTAGAGTCAATGATTGTAGAGTGGCTGGAAGATGTAATGTATTATATACTTGCTAAGTATGATAGTTTTTACAGCATTCATGTTGTTTGCTTTAAAGGTTGGATTTAAAAAAAATGTTTCTATGATAAACTTTTCTACTAACTTTCAGTTTGAGAGCAAACTTCATTGGACTTGTTTATAACCTCCTGCAAATACAGGTTTATAAGGGAAACATTGACAGAGCTCCTGTACTGTAGTTCCTCAGTCACTGATGGCCAAAGAGTTCCAAAGTGCTGTAAGCTCCTCTTTTATGTTTGGCTCTTGGGGGGTTCATATTAGAGTTAGTTGAAAAAACAAAGGAAATGTTAGTCAAAATTGTCACAAAAAATTTTGTCTAGTTTTTCATCGAAATTTGAAAAGTTTCAAACAGCTCTAGTTAATATTGTCTTGTGCTTCTTTCAGTGAATTAGGCCTTGATTCAGCAAATCCCTTTTTCACCTGATCAAGGCCTTATAGTTGGAGGCTATATTGAACTTTTGTTGCTTGGAGTCAGGATTGCCTGATAACATTAACTGCTAATAAGCCAAATCCTGCAGTAGTTAGTCAGGAAAAGCTCCTATTGACCTTAGTGGGAACTTTGCATGCGTAAAGACTGCAAGATTTGACCCAGTGTGTACACTACACTACCTGTTTAAACCCTCAGCCCCTCATGCTACTCAGTTGTCTGTGTGTACCTTTTTGTGTCTGTCTGTCTGTCTGTCTGCTCTGTGTAATGCAGTGGTATTTACAGAATTTAATCCAGTTCTGAAGTTGTTGAACAAAAAAGGTGAACCCATCTGGTAGTTCTGTATAAATACCTAAGTTTTCCTTTTCATTGTTGTTGTTTTCCTCTTGAATGTTTTACCAGTGCTGTTGTCAGTGCCTTGCATTGCTTTGAAACCAAAAGAGATTTCCTTCAGTCATACCAGGGTGGAAATCACTGTTGTAGACATGACAAAGGTAGATGTGGCCAGCCATGCAGCAAACACAAATTAAAAAAAAAAAAAGAAGAAGAAGAAGAAGGAAAGAGAAAAGAGGAAGGGAGAGAGATTTCTGGGTCAAATACATTTCAGGAGAGAAAAGAGTCAGTGAATGTAGGTTTGATTCTTTCATTCAGCCACAGACAAACGTTCAGATGAGCAGGTCTCTTTGCAGTGCTGCTGGAGGTAAGATAACTAATTTGCTCTTATTGAAATTATTTTGATATGATTGCAAATATTGTAATGTGATTTTTTTTTTCCAGGAGTTGAAATTTTCCCAAGTGCTGTCTTATCGTTTTATCAAATGGATCTGGACAAACAGTGCTGCTGCTGCTTTGTATTCCCAACATGGCAGTTTCTGTGCTCAGATCTTTGTAAGATTGGCCCCAATTCCATTGTCCTGTGTAAAAAATGAATCTAAATGCCTTTGATAGACTAGCTTACATTTTAAAGTATGTATTTTGGGATAAGTTTTTTTAAACCAAATAAGTATATTTTACAAATTGAAAGGAACCAAGTGCTGTAAACAGAGATTATTTCCAGTTAAGAATGACTTTTTAAAAGGTATTTTCAAAAGATACCCAGAAGCTAAAACTGAATTAGTCTTTGTGTAAAAAAATTGTATCATAGACTTTAAAATACATAATCTTTTTGCCTGAGCATTTTTTTTGCCTGAGCAGGTTTATAAGGGACAAAAATAATAAAGATTACATTTTTGTTATAGAAATAAAGAAGGAGGCGAATAAATCATATTAGCATTTAAAGACATTATTTCCCTTCTTAAGAAATTGTGTCATAAAGCTGTTATGAATAAACAATACAGATCTACCAAAAAACAAAAACTAAAAAACAAAACCAACAATATAAGACATGACAGACCTTAATAAAATGGTAGCAAGAAAATAATACATATGAGCCAGGACCATTACTCTGTTGTCTCCTTCAGTTCCATTAATATTTCAGACAGACTCTAAGCAGGGCCTGTATTTTCTTGCCTATAACCAGTTAACAAGCTATAAAGTAGGTGTTCTCTGTCTTCTTTATGCTTAACAGAAGATTGTCACCTGGACCATTCCCGCCCACACTAATCTGTGGTCATGCAGGCCATTTCCCTTCCCATTCATGATTATGTAACATCCCTATATGGTAACGACAGCGATTGCTTACATAGAAAAATAATATTAGGAAAGTGTTTGGTAAGGGGATTTTCAGCAGTGCTCAGCATTGACCTAACTGCTTCCATGGGAATTTTACCAATGACTTCAGTGGGAGTGAAGTCAGACTCATGCTGAGCGTTTTTGACAAACTCACCCTTTAATGTATTTTTGATGCCTTTTCAAGCATTTTAGCTGTTAGGTACAAGGAGGAGGAGCCATCGCCATGTGACCAGCCAGCTTTCTTTGGACTACCAGGAAGTGCTCTGTGTACCACCTGTGATACATGAATCATTGTTTGAGAACCTCTGCCATAAAGACTTATGGCTGGTATTGTCAAAGTTAGGCAATCATCTTCCATCGAAATTCAATGCGAGTTGGGTCCCTAACATCCCAGCCTGTAATCTAAAATCACATAACTAACATACTCCATTTTAGCAATGTCAGTCACTTCCCTCTATCAGTTTCTTATCACTAGAATGTAATCTCGTTTCCACCTTCTCAGAATCTATCTTGTGATTCAGGAGAACGTAATAGCAAAACATTATCTGAATATTTTACTGATTGTATTTGTCACTGAAAAATACTTCAACAAATATTACTGAAATATAGATGCAAATCTCTGGTAATTTGACATTTCCTCTATTTGGCTCTATGCCCTTTATCGAGTTTGCTGGTTTGAACATCATCAATTGTTACAGCAGTGAAATTTTGGTTACCTTGCATAATAACAGGGGGAGGGATAGCTCAGTGGTTTGAGCATTGGCCTGCTAAACCCAGGGTTGTGAATTCAATCCTTGGGGGGGCCATTTAGGGATCTGGGGCAAAAATCTGTCTGAGGATTGGTCCTGCTTTGAGCAGGGGGTTGAACTAGATGACCTCCTGAGGTCCCTTCCAACCCTGATATTCTATGATAACCAATGAGATATTTTGTTATACCCAAGCAGGCCCCGATTCAGGAAAGCACCTAAGCATTCACTTAAATCTTTACCTGTTAAGGTAAGAAAAGCAGTTAAGCACATGCTTAACTTTAACTTGACTTCAATTCAG